AAGATCAAAACAACAATAAGCAACAAATTCATCATGATCAAATCAAACAAGCTAAAATCAAACACAAATCAATCAAACTTCAATCAAACTTGAACATTCAACAAACAATTGAAATCAAACTAAAGATCAAACTAAAAATTGCATTAAAGAAAAGGAAATCTTACAAACTTGATCAAAGATCAAAGGAAATGGAGAAAGCTTCAATCATCAACAATCCACTATGAAATTCTCTCTCTAAAAACCTAGAGTTTCTCTCTCTAAAAATCCAACCTAAACTAATTCTAATGCTATTATAATTCTTCTCCCTCTAAAAATAGAAGGAAAGACTATAAATAAGAAAGATACAAAAGAAGAAGTAGTTAGATCGTCCCAAAAGAAACCCCGGAAGGTGCGGTCGCATCAAGGAAGAGGCGCGGCCGCGGGAAAAAGGGTACGGAACAGGGGCAAGAAGAGGTGTGCCCGCACCACCCTGGTGCGCGGCCGCCCCTGAAAGCAGGGCACTTCCTCTCTTTCTTCGTCCAAGCTCATCCTCGTGGGCTCGTCTTTATGATGATGATGAACACCAAGGAAGGCGGTCTTAAAAGGGCCATTTTGGTGGGTTCATGGCAAAGATGACGCCCCCACCGCATACGTGCACCGATCTCTTGACTCGCCCTTTGCGTTCCTTCAAACTTGAAGCTCCGAAAGGCGAACATGAGGCATCCAAATTGATGAGAAATATGAGAGAAAGGCTTGAGAATCCTTGGAAACACGATCATAACCTAAAAACAAACGAAAACAAACAAATAAAAGGGAAAAAGAACAAATAAACAAAGAAATGCACAAAACAAGGAAACTATGGAAAGCACAAACTAACGAAATAAAGAACAAAACTAAGGAAAAGCTCAGGAAAAGGGCTATAAAATAGTATGAAAATCATCCTAAAAGAGGCCAAATGAGTGCCATAAATGACATTCATCAGTATGTCTTCAGGCGTGGTATTTGGATGACGGCACTATTATTGGAGACTGATGAAGGGAAAACTAGGTGTTATCTAATCTTCCCTCGGTCAAACTAAATTTATAAACACTTAACAAACCCTAATACGAGTATAGAGACAAGTCAAGGGTTGAACCCAAAGGAACGTAATGTTCAAGCACTTTCAATTATGCGCCTAAGCTAGGTCGAAGACGAAGGTAAGAGAGAATACTAACAACTAACAAAACAAGTAACCAAGGAAATAAAACACTAGGAACGGGGATCAACAAGTAATCATGTGAATTGCAACAACTTGGAAAGTTCAAGTCAATCAAAGGTTGTGAAGACTAATAAGAGCAATCAATTAGAATTAAAGAGCTATCTCCTAATTGTTAAGCTAGGGTTCACTATGAATAACAAACTAAGAGAATCACAATCAAAACCAATCGATAATTGCAATTCCTAAATCAATTGTTCGTGTCATTAGCAATTACAATGCAATCTAGCATAATTCTCAAGGCCTAATCGAATTACACACATGCAAACCTTCATTAATAACTTTAATCTCAACAATTAATCAACACAATTCCCAAATTAATCACAATTAATCAATCATACAAGTTTCACCCAATTCCTAGCCAACAACTACTCAAATATCATCATCTATCAACAATCAACTAAAGAAACCAAGAATTCACAAATTATGGAGAACAACTACATTAATCAAGCATCAAACATCAAAATCAATTCAAACAAACATGAAATTGAATAAAGCAATAAAGAGGAGAGAGAGTGAGAAAGCTTCATTGATTGATAATGGAGATCTTCAATACAATTGTCATCTTAAATCTTCAACCTCTCAAATAACCATTAAAATTCCTCACTTTCTCTCTCTAAAATCTACTCCTAAAACTAATCCTAAATCTAGAGAGAGAAGCTCTCCACTAAGCTAAGAAATATGTGGTCTAATTCTAATTCTAATTCTCTAATTCTAATTCTCTAATTCTAATTCTACTCTCCTTTTCTCTCTAACCCAAAAATGGGTATATATAATTCCAAGGTTAAAAGAAAATAAAAGAGAAAATAAAACAAAAGAAAAGAAATGAAAATAAAATAAATAATAAAAGAAAAAGAAAGTAAAAAGAAATATAGAAAATAAAAGGGAAAAATAAAAAGAAAATTTAAAGAATCGTTAAAAAAACCGAAATCAAGAAGTCAGTGGACTTCCAAAACGACAGCTATAATTGGGAAATTATCCCATGATTCGCATTTCATCAAAACATCACCAACGATCATCATAATCACCACCGTTGATTTTGGTTCGATTTGAGCCTTGTTTGTGTGATTGTGTGAGGTGCGATTGGAGGCTTTGAGTGCGGTGGTGGCTGGCTTGTTGCGGCTAGGGCAGGGGCTGCTAGTTGCAGTGGTGAAGGAGGTGCAATTTGTTGCGGTTTGCGGAGATAGAAGGTGGCGCGATTTGTGCGGTTGTTATTGGAGGAAATTGGTGGCTGGTTTGGTTGATTGAATTGGTGGTAGAAAGGAGGTGCGAAGTGAGTTAAATGCAGGAGCAGGGGAAACGGTGGAACAGAGGAGCTGCTGGCGGGAACAGGGCACGAAAGGGTCGCGCCCGCGGTGCTGGGGCCGCGCCCGCGGCCAGACCGCGGTGACTTACTGCCTGTTTTGGATGTTTTGGTGCAATCGAGCCCGCGCCCGCGCCTACCTATGCTGCTGCGTTGAATTGGTGATGTGATGGCGTAGTTTGCTAAGTAGTAGCTGTTGTTGTTGTTGGTGATTGCAATTAAAGGAGTGGTTTGGACATCAAGCTTGAATTGAATCGAATTTTGTCCCTAGCAATCACCTACACGAACAACTGAAAAAGGAGACAAATAAAATAAAATAAATAAAGTAAAAATAAAAAGAAATAAAACTAAAACCATGAATTAAGGACTAAAATCATGAAAAACTAATAAAAATTAATCAAAACCCAAAATGAGTTATTAAAATGGAAAACTAAGAAAATTATATGAAAATATAGAAAAAGGACCTAAATCTTATTCTTTTGAGCGCCATAAATGACCCTCATTAGAGACACTTTGGTGGTAGGGAAGGTTCTACAGTTGATTATGGAAGAAGGACCTCGTTTTGGGTTGCATCTCAATGTGGAAAAAACTGAAGTTTTCTGGCCTACAGAAGACCCTCGAAGCAGGCTTGTGGGTGTTTTTCCCCCTTCTATTGCTCGACCATTGCATGGTGTTAAGCTCCTTGGTGGTCCTGTTAGTTCTGATTCCAGGTTTAGTGGCGAGCTTGTGATGTAGAGGGTGACCAAGACCATTGCGCTTATGGATAAGGTTGCTACGCTGGATGATCCTCAGCGTGAGCTGTTGTTACTTAGGGTATGTACTGGAGTTTCTAAACTTTATTTGCCTTGCGTACTTGTCCTCCAGGTGCTTTTGAGGCGGCTTAGCGCGTTTTCGACGAGGCTCTTCGATTTTTCTTGAAGCGTATTGTTACTGTTTCGGGGCCTGGGTTTGGTGATTGGCAGTGGTGACTTGCCACCTTTCTATTTGCGTTTGGAGGGCTTGGTGTTTATTCCACGGGTGATGTTCGTCATTATGCTTTTCTTGCTTCTCGGTTACACTCTATTGGGTTACAGACGCAGCTTCTGCGTCGTATTGGTATTGTTGGTCTTGGTCAGGCTTTTGAGGATGCGTTGAGTCTGTTTACTGCAACGATTGAGTCTGACATTTTAGGTAATCCTTGTGAGGTCGCTACCCCGAAGCTCATGAAGAAATTGGCAAATATATATTTCACAATGGTTATCGCTTCTGCAGAATCCACCTTTTCTTTGTCTCCTCGGCAGTCGGCATTCTAGAAGTCGCAGCAAGGTGATCACACCTCTTCTTGGCTTCGGGTAGTCCCTATTTCTAGATTGGGTCAGACGATGAACGCTAAGACATATAGATGTGTGTTGTGTTATCGGATGAGTATTCCATTGTTCTCTATCTCGACACCGTGCTCTGCTTGCTCTCGGGTTTTAATGGTGGATGTATTCGGCGACCATGCGGTGTCATGTGCTGGTATTGTAGGTATTAAACATCGGCACAATGTTGTTCGGGATACTTTTGTTGATATTTGCTACAGATCTGGGATTTCAGCAAGAAAGGAGGTTGGCATAGGATTGTCTGAAGGGAATGACGGGGCCCTTAGACCTGCCGATGTGTTACTTTATTCATGGGATCGTGGTCATGATGTATGTGTCGACTTCATAGGGTCTTCTCCTTTGACACAGTCAGGGCTACCTGATTTTGTTCCGGGACGTGTTGTGGCTGACGCGGCTCATCAGAAGCGGGTTAAGTATGAAGCTCGTTGTCTGGCGATTGGATATGGTTTCATTCCCTTCTCCTTTTCTTCGCTTGGGGAATTAGAGAAGGAGGTTGTTGCGTTGCTGAACCGGATTCAGAGGTTTTCGACAACGTAAGACATTGGTGCTTGTGCTGCAGCTCATATATTCATTAGGGTAGGCTTTGCTACAGCTAGAGAAGTAGGGGCCCAGATTGTATCCCGGCTTCCAACAACAACAACAACAACAACAATAAGAATAAATAATAATAATAATAATAATAATAATAATAATAATAATAATAATAATAATAATAATGACATTAATAATAATAACATTCAAATCCGAAACTCGAACTTCACCCTGAAAATTTCTAAAATCTTTTCTTGTTAACTACATTCTTTGTGAGAGAGTAAAATATTGAGAAAGGAGAATTTAGAATTAGGTTCTTTTTCTAAGTTTGTATATGAAAAAGGAAAGTGGTTGGATACTTTGAAAAAGAAAATGGGCTTAAAGTATTGGGTCGAAATTCGGTTTTCGATTTTTTTAAACCCAAAACCGAATCCAATCCGTAATCCATATTTATTAATTTTTCCAATCCGATCCAATCCGAATTAAAAAAAATCCAAACCAAATTACAAATTCGATTTGGTTTTCGGTTCGATTCGGTTTTAATCCGAATTACTTTTACCCCTACTAGAAGCTTAAAAAAACAGGGCCTTAGGGTGTTTGAATTTTGAGGGATTGGTTTAGGGTTTTCTGGTTTAGGTATTTGGCTTTGAGGGTATTTGGGCCTCTTTAGGATTTGTTAGTTTGTATATTTTTTTTTTCAGATATCGGGTTGGATATATGACTTTTTTTCGAATATCGAATATCCGAAATACAAAATTTCGATATCCGATATCCGATATCCTATCACATAATGTTTTCAGATCAATTATTCTAAATTTTTGGATCGAATTTTCGGATTATCAGATAGTTTTGCTAGTCTTAGTTTTAGATGTACCAAAATTCAAAATTTTTTTGCAGGCATGATATATAACGGTCTAATTTAGAAGTTTCACATATCACACCAACTCCACAGTCTCTTTCACTTTTTCAGAGTGTTCCCATTCTTTTATTCGTCCACAACTTTAAACCGCCTATATTCAACTTCAAAAATTTCATCTGCCTTTCTTTCTCTCTCTCTCATCTACTACTCTTCACTCCCCTGAAAACTCCTGTTCAAATTTGCGCCGAATTCTAGGTCATTTTCTACTTTCAATTTCTCAATCATTGCTCGATCTACAAATCAATCGAAAATGGAGGTTCTTGAAACGCCTCAAATTGATGCTGAAACTGATGCTTTCTCTCTAATAGACGTTTCCGCTTCCGATGATGATTTTCTTTTGGCTTCTTCCTCAGGTTTATTTCGATCTTATTTATCGATCTTATATACTTGTTTTTGCAATCTTTTGTGAAATTGAACCCTATTTTTTCAATTTTTTTGTTACTAGTTTAAATTCAGAATCTCTTTTTTTTTTTTTGTTTACCCTAATTGCTGATTTTATGCTGTGAAAATAGATTGGTGTGTATATTCATTTGTTTTAATAAAACAATTCAGTGTCTTTTATCAAAAAATAATCCATAATTTAATAGCAATGGCAAGTGTTTGGAAAATTGGAATCCTAAAATTTGTAGAAAACCTGTGTTAATGTATATAGAGTAGACATAAACATTCCTTGGTTAAGTACATTAGAAGCAAGCATGTGCTGTGATAGCTTCAAGAAGTTATTTTGAACTTTCACCGTTTAATATCCCATAAGTAGGGTCGGCTACATAAACGCACACAAGGACTTAGGAGGCCACCCATCCTAGAATTGCTCTTAATCATTGTGGCTCATATTATGTAATAGTTAGAGCAATCTACTGAGGCATTCATTGGGAAACACCAAATCATATATGAAACGGGGGTTTGAAAATTTTGAGAAATGACCTGTTCTAGTGTACTGCTCAAGTAACTCTACTGTGTTTGAATCTTATGTTGCCAATATATTGATAAATATAATATTTTGATGAATATTTACAAAATGATCACATATTATGTACTCCCTCTATTTTTTTTAAATGCGTCACTTTAACAATTACATTATTCACATAGTTGACATAATTTTTTCACCTCTAAAAAATAAATAAATGTTATTATACAATATATATTACTACGTATTAAATTTGTTGTAATTTCTAGTTTCATAATATAACTAGCTTTTTGGCCCGTTCGATGTACGAAGTAATTGTTTCATTGCTAAAACTTAAAAGGAAAAATAGAATGAGGGTAGAACTGTGGAAAAAGATAAGGAATTTAGTTACGTATATGTACATGCAGATTGTAGGATATGAAATGACATATTGGTTTAAGTTATATTTTAAGTCTATTAGTTGAAAAGACAATTTTTATATAATTCAATTCATATGTTTATGTGATGTATATTAACTGGTTCAACTTTATTTTATTATGATGGAAATGAAACACTTCATTTTTTTAATTGAATTTGCAAGTTATAGAATGTATAAAGATTTAAACAAAAAGATTAAAAGGGGTGACATGTGTCATATGTGGTAGTGAGTAACTTGTGATGACATTTGTCATATGAAAAATTATGGTTTGTGATTTTAAGTACTAAGTATAGAGTATAGAAATAGATATAGATATAGATATAGATTTTGTTACAATTTTTACTAATACACAGTTAAAGATACTACATATTAATGGTCAAAGTAGCGTCTCGGCAAATGTGTCAGCCAAACTGATGCATATACAAAAAAATTAAAAAATAAAAAAAAATAAAAATAAACAGAGGGATCATATTATTAGATGGTCTTATACTATGTTACTCAGACCTCACGTGTCCGTGTCGACACGACACTTGTTGGACACCGACACCGACACTTGGACACTTCATTTTTAAGTAAAATCATAATTTTTTTCAAGAAAATGAGCGAGTCCGATGCTTGGACACCCGTGTCTAATTTGACACTTCATCCGAGTCCAAGTAACATAGGTCTTATAAATCATGTTAAGTATTGTCATATTCGTTTGTAATGGTGGTTTATGATTGGTTTTACTGTCACGCGACCTTGCTAAAATCAAATAATTGGGAGAGTATGAGATGGGTTTCATTACTATCACGGTACTTTTTTAGCTCACTTCCTTTAATTCTATAATATTTAACGTTTACGGTTGGCTATAAACGTTTTAACTTATTTCAAAGTGTAAAATTCCATACAGAACTCATGTGCTACCAACATTAATTGCTTTGTTGATTAGTGTAATTGTGGTCAGATGAGTTTATGTTGATTTTTAATTTATATCTATGAAATGCATAATTTTGAACCTGAAAAAGCCATGGTTTCCTTGTAACTTTTACGGAAATATTAACCAAAAGAATTGTACTGATCGTAAAATTTATTTTGATGGAATCAGTATTGCAGCTAATTTCTGTAATGTATTTCAACTAGTGTAGGGTGATACTAGTCCTTAAAGATGTGTGCGTGTGTGTGTGCACAATGACTCCAAAGAATTATTTTAATAGGCTTCTTTATGATAATTTATCCAAAAATTGATTTCTACTGTAAAGTTTTGAATTTTTCAATCGTGGATAAAAATTAGATTCCTTGAAGTCACGTGTTTAGAAGTCTTAGTGTTCTCTTCCAATAGTGTCCTACATGAGCATAACGATACATGTGTGCTTGGTGTTGCATATACTTAGAAGTATTCTTGTTTGATGATGCACAGAACCCAGCATAGCGGACAATGCAGACCATATTTTTACTGAAGGAGCACCTACAGACCAACCATCTTCCTTGGTTTTACATAAACCTGGGAAAACTGGCAAATGTAACCTGCGCAAAAGTTTGGCTTGGGATAGTGCATTTTTTACCAATGCTGGTATATGCTTTTGTTTTGTACTGTATTGAGTGTTATTCCTTAATCCTGTGGTTTCTTTCCTGCATTGAGATGATCTATTACTCTCTGTCTACTTTATACAGGAGTTCTTGATCCCGAGGAGTTGTCTAGCATAATGGAGGGGTCTGATACGTGTGTGAAGCAAAGCCCTTTTCTACCTGGTATCCAAGAGGAACTAAGCAAATCAACTGATTCAATCTCCACTTTTCAGAGTGATAATGTGACACTGGAAAGTCTTGAGGCTGATCTTTTCTGTGACATAAGAGCTTCAATTCAGAGATGCAGCAAGTCTTCGACTAAAGGAAATAGTGGTGACCTTAAAGTCCATGGAGAAGAACCCAAGAATGATTGTTGTAAGTAACATAATGTGCTCTTTCTAGCATACATTATCAACATCAAGATTTTGCTGAAAGCCAGCAATTCAATTTGAGTACAATTTGATTGCATTTGTCTAGAATCATTTTCCTTACTTCATCTGACATATTGGAGTTGTGGTTGGGTGGCATTGCAATTCTAGTTGCCTTTTCATATATCTCAGTTTAGGATAAAAATATTAAGGGATTTTTTTTAACTAATATTAAGTCACGTTCAGCCTTGTTTCGTAATGTGCAACTAGACTACTAGAGCGATGGAAAAGCTTTAGAGAAGAAACTGCAAGGCTAGAATCTCCTTGTTTCTTGGCTGATAGGATTTAATCCAACATTAGAAATTTAGAATAGGATAGAATTTATAATTTTCCAATAAAGTTATATATTATAGATATGAAGTTACGAACTCTAATTTGGGATATTAATTTGTGTGGGACTGTGAAAGTACTCGATTATGTTCTTGACTTCTTGTTGTAGTTATCTGAAGAGTGCTTAATGAAGATAAAGTTTCAATTGCATGTAATTTGTTAAGAGTCTTGAAGTATCAGAGTTTACTTGTTTTGTTATCCATTTCATGGATACCAAGGGGGCTAACTGGGCTGATGGGCTCTAATCATGTCTATAAGAATAAACATCTTTAACCTTCCATTTCATCTGTAATATTGATAGTGTTTAGTTTTGTTCTGCCAGAAATCTAATATTGTAGACTGTCATGTGCAAACTATCCGTTTCAGTGCCAGGATCCTCTTTGGTTACTAATTCTGTTTTTTTGTTTTATCCCAGCAACAAAGATACCTGAACCTTCACGCAAATTGGTAAGCTGATCTGAGGAATTTTTAGAGTTTGATTATTTTGGTGGCACTCAGATTAGTTGTGTTCTTATTCTTGTAGGCAAAGCCCAAAACAGCCTCCAAGAAACTTAATATGGCAGCGCGTGGGTCTATGAGAACATTAAAGCCAGGTTCTGTTTGCAAACAAGAGATTAAGGCATGTAAATTCCTTGCTGTACTACCATCCATATATGTGCATATCTTCACTTTATATATGTTTTTAGCTGCATTTAAAATTTAAACAATTTATAGCGTACATTGTGATAAACTGGAACATGATCTTACAGTTCCTTCACTATTCTGGACAGAGCTGTCCATTACTCCTTTCGTCCCCTAAAATATTTACATTTTGAGTTTTTACATGGAGGATTAATACACTTTATGAAGTTTTCTGCATGTGTATAAATATTTTCAGACATTTGTTTTAGGAACTTTGCTTCCTTTGTTTTTTCATGTGCAACTCAAAGGTATTGCACATATTATTTTTGGTGGGGGAGTATTTTCTAATTTTTAAAACTATTGTTAAGCTTTGACTACAGTGATATCAATATATTGGAATTTGGAAATGTACTCTGTGCTCACAACAACGTAGTTGGACTGACAACATTTTGTTTTCTGAATAAAGTCTCCTGTCAACCGTAGCAGAGAGCCTACCTCACTGCTTTCTAGGCCACTTAAGCCAGCTGGTGGACCAAGCTTGCAAGTAGCAGCAACTACCAAGAGAATGTCAATTAGTGCCAGCCGCATCAACTCAGAGTCTAAGGCTGCAGGAAATGTGAAAGGTAAAAAAGACTAATTTTCTTTATATTACCCTATTGAATCAATATGTAAACATTGAAGCCAATTTTAAGCCTGATTTGAATAGGCGCAGGGAAGGGAACTTCATTGCCAGATGCTTTCCATCAAGTTGATTCACGAAAGCCTGTACCTAAAGCCCCATCTTCATCCAAAATTTCTGCAGCTTCTTCAGTATTGAACAGAACCAAAACATACAGTTCACGCTTGTCATGTAACAGCTCTAGTAGCTCTGCATCTGAAAATGTTCGAAGATCTCAAATGGGTGTAATAAGAAAAAAGATGTTGGACAAGAATGTCAGTCTGCTACCTGGTGTCAAGAATAGAGCCTCAACTAACGCTGTAGAAAAGGTTAAGTCTCAGAATAAGCAGTCCCATCTCTCAGACTATCTGACGTCCACATCAACACCTTCCTGTAGTATATCACCTGCAAGCTCTATTAGCGAATGGTCCACTGAGTCATGTTCTTCAACCGCTACAGTTCATCAAAAACATTTTGGCTTGAATCCTTGTCCCCCTACCTCTCATGATGTTGGTGCTGATGGCAATGTTTCTCAAAATCTGCTTAATCTATCTAGTAATAGATCTTTGGGTGATCGTGAAAATCAAGTGCCAATATCTAGCCAATCTGCGATACAACCTTCAATAGGGAGTGCTGTGTCCAATCCTCATCCGGGCTCTGCTAAACCATCAGGTCTTCGAATGCCATCACCAAACATTGGTTTTTTTGATGGGGTCAGTTTTCTAACATCTGATAATTTTTCTTGAAGGTTCTCAAGCCTAGCCTGCTGCTGTTTTTGGGTTGTGAGAGAAGGGTGATTGGGTCTTATCTCATGCTGTCACAACTCAAAAGCCTGTAAAAAGCAGCAACTTGCTGGGTTGAGTTATCTGTTGAGTTATACCCGATTTGCTCTTGGATGGTTTCCATAATTTATAATACGTAGTATGCTTTATTAATGTTAATCCTATTTGCATGTATGGTCCATACTTTGCAATAATGAGGAATGTCTTTTACAGGCAAAAGCTGGTGCTAAGACTCCTAGTTCACGACCTCGTTCTGCCTTGCCCAGCAGCCTTCCTAGATCAGCAGCAGGAACACCCAAAATTTCTGGGGCAACAAACAAAACAAGACTTGGCTTTGGCACTAGTGCTTCTAAAATAACAGAATCAGCTGCTGCAACTGCCAAGCCTAAAGAACAAATCATTGATGCAAACCTTAAAACAGATGCAGCAAGGACTCCTTTTACAGTAAAGAATAGTGTATCTAATGTGGTCGAGGTAAGCACCTCGCCACCTGGATCGGGCATCGAGTCATTTTCAAAGGGTGACGCTGTGTGTTCTCTAGAGATGCAATATATTCCAAGGTAAATTATGTATGGGCAAGTGAATAGTACACTGTCATGAACATATTGAATAAAAATTTATACAGTTGTGGTATAGATCGGATGTATATTACCATTTTAAGTTGTTTGGATAAGTAAATATTTGGGGTCTGTTTTCTAACATCTGATGGGTCAATTATATAATTGTCTTTGATAATTAATTAAATTTAATGATATTTATGTGACACGTACTCTACATGCTTCTAAAAAAAAAAAATCCCCTTTTATTTGTATCAATCAAAAACATTAACAATGCGTGTGGAGTTAGTATTTATCATGTACTCATTAATCAATAATTATTTCATTCAGGCGGGTGTATCATGCACCTAGAAGAACATTACCTTGTGAATAAAAGAACATTACCTATAAATAAAAGAACATTACCTATAAATAAAAAAAAACGTAGTTATAATAATTTATTTAAACGAATGTAAAGTACATTAGAAAGAACTTTATCAACCTATGGAAGAAGATGATGAACAACAATGGTGGTACCAAAAATTCAAACAATCAAGTAATTTACTGATAATAAAGTTTCATATGAACAACAAACATTACCACAAAACACAAAATATAGGTAAAAGAATAACAAGCAAAGAGAGTTCACCATTGAAGCACAACCTAGGGTTTCGTATTCATGAAGCGGAAGAAAGATGAACAATAAAAGAGAAATCATACTTCAAATGAGTAGAAAACTCTTGTAAATGAATTAATAGTGGGAATCAAGCTAGTAGAACACTCAATTGCTAGTTTTTTTTAACCAATATCAAAATACCCAAAATTCTCAAATCATGAAAATTCAAAAATTTGGTTGTGAAATTTGGATTTTAGAGTGCAAAATCTAGTAAAAATATGTGTATGAGTGATGACTAAGCACATAAAGGCTATAAATATCAAGAAATAAAATGGAAGAAGTTAGATGGAGAAGAGAGAGAGTATTGAAGAAAGAGAAAATGAAAAGGTGAAATGAACCTTGCATATAAAATAAAGAACATTGCATATAAATTCCTTTTAAAACAAAAGAACATTTCATATAACTAAAAAGAACATTAAATTCCCTCGAGTAGGGTTCGTGAGTGCTCTGCTAGGGTTCGCTTGTTGTTGATGATTGTGCGTGATTTTTCCCTAAATTCCACCAATTTTTGTTCGCAAATTCTAATTATCGAGTACTTGTCTGCTTGTTGGCTGTAGTTATGGTGGAAGATCTTGTGAAAGATTGGGAGAAACTTCGATTGACGAAGGTGGAGGACAAGGTTTATGGGGGTGAATATGAGGAACCTGATGACAGGAATTCTAAATCTCGAATTGATCTTTCTTTGGTGGGTAAATTGTCAACTACCAAACCCTTTAATGTTGAAATGATGAAAAGGGTGCTGTTGAACCTATGGCGATTGACAGATAATGTGGCTATCCGTATGGTTGAGACCAACTTGTTTGTTATTCAATTCTTCGATGAAGCAGATAAGGTGCGTGTGTTGGAGGGTAGACCATGGGATTTTTATAATCAGTTACTGCTCATACAAGAACTCGATGGTGATGATCAACCCTCCGAGGTGTCGTTCCAATTCTTCCTATTCTAGATACGGTTGTTAGATGTTCCTTTTAGTCGGCGTAATGAGAGGTTCGCAATAGAGACTGGGGATAGCTTCGGTGGTTTCATGGAGTTTGATGAATCCGACCCGTTGGGGTGGGAGAAGTTCACGAGAATAAAGGTGATGATTGATGTAAATAAACCTCTAAGGAGGGGTATGAAAATTGCTTTGGTGGGGGAAATACGAAGTGGGTGGAATTCAAGTACGAATGGTTGGGTGATTTTTGTTACTACTATGGGGAGGCCTGGACACTCGGATAAAGAGGGCCCCATTTCGAGGATGATAATGAAGAAACAAGGGTGGTTTTCCAGCACAGTTCTTTTGTAAGGAGGGTGATCCCATCGTAAGGGGTAATCTCCTTAAATGCCCTTGACCACTTAAAAGCTTAGGACTTTACACTTGTTAGGGTGTAGTAGGATTTGAATTCCTGACTGTTTGGGGATCTTGAATTAGAATTAATTCTATCATTACGTTTTTTTTTGTAAGAAACAAGTAGGAGTCGCCAATGAGTTTTAGGAAAAACTCATAAACCTCGTTCATGCCTTTCTTCCATGTGGAGTTCATGGAATAATTAGCACAAATCATAAGTTTACCCATGCCCAAATTGGTCTATAAACCAGAAATGAGTTCGGGAGCGAGGGTACTAAAATAACGTTCCCTTTAGAGGGGAATCGTTATCCTAGCCCTAGTGCAGCCTCTACTAGCACTTCCTTTTTTACAATTTCATCACCAAACAATATATGCAACGCGACACCTAGAACTATGTTAGTTGATTTTATTTACAAGCATTAATTCACGTAGGAATTACATCGTAATGTTTAATCAAATTCGTGAAAAGGACAAGAAAATAAACAAGATTCGTCTTGGCTTAAGTGATCAACTAACAATTATTAATTCAATTCTAATCTTTATTTAACGCAAGGTACTATGTGGAATTGATTAATTAATTATTTTAAAGGTGATCAAGTAACACTAATTAATTAAAGTCCTTTTAAACAAGAAAATAAATGTGATTTAACTAAGTGCTCGGGAATTTACCACTTCTCTTTGTTAGATCTCCGTTTAGAATACTTATGGACTCCTTCTTGTTGGGGAACCTCCACCGTAGTAACAAAATATTAAAAGGGTGAGTGTTTAGGATTATTTGAAATATGATCATGAATATATTAGGCTACATTTTGTATATAATGTATACAACATTATTGTATTAAAATAAAATATAACACTCGTCTACTAATTGATTTGCTTATATAACTTATTGATATATTGAAACTTAATAATAAATCAAAATAAGATATAAATATAATTAGTTACCTCATTCCAAGTATTTCTAACAAACAATCAACATGTTACCAAACAGTTATGTTACTAGAATTGAAATATTCCAATCATCATTCAACAACATGTTACCAATATAAAATGTCACTGGTGAAAAATTAGTAGCAAAATATGTTCCCGAAAAAAAGAAGCTTCAGGCATCAATTTGATTACATACAAAATAAAACAAGTTCAGGAGACTCCCTAAGTACCAACAGGGTCCAATGATGTTAACATTGTAATGAAACTGTAAGAGCATATCTATTATTGAGTACTACGTAACCAATATGAATCCCTCTCATTCATAGGAACCGAAAACTCTGGATTGTATCCAGACTGATCAGACTGGTCAATACTCATTGTTGGTTGTGATCCATACGACATTGCATTGTTGTCTCTAATTATGGACGAACTAGCTTCTCTTGCCACTATGTTGGCGTTGTTGTTGCTACTTCCACCAACGTTAGGGATTCCACTAATGTTACTGTTTGGAGCCGTTCCATGCCACCTCCCATTTAATTTCCCAAATGTGTTTCTTATTATTTCCTTTGCAGTGGAAAAACGGGATGGATTAGCGAATGTAAATAATAATAATAATAATAATAATAATAATAATAATAATAATAATAATAAAGTAGCAGAAACAGATTAATGATTTTTAATTGAAATAATAATATGTGAACAGAAAAAACAAACAAATTACTGCATTAGAAGTAATATTTCAAATTTCAATGCTTTTAATTTACTGATTTTCACAAGAAATACACTTTTATAAATAGGATTTCAAGTAAAAAAGACGAGTTTATGTATTAAATCAGACTTACAGTCTGTGGTTACTAATAATATTACTTACTATAAGCCAATGTGACCAAAATATCATCTTTCATTATAATAGTAATATATAAAATATATACGTAATTGTTTTTAATAGAATAATAGTCAAATTCCCCAGGTTACCTCGTTATGAGCAATTTCTTCTGGAGTATATTTAAACTTTTTCTTCGACTTTCCACCTTTCTCTGCTGGGTTAGGGATTCGAGTATTTTTACCCCTTCCAGATTTTCTCTTATCAACAGGGTCCTTTGTGCCATCTTCCACGGGTACTACACTTTTTTTTAAGTGCCTTTCGTTTTGATCCCTTGGACATACCCTTCGACGGCCAAATACTTTGCGCGAAGATTCATCCCACCAGAAGTGTGCTGATGAGTGTCATTTATGGCACTCATTTGGTTTTTTTTAGGATGAATTTCATGCTATTCTTTAGCTCTTTTACTTAGTTTTTCCTTGATTTTACTCTTTATATATTTTAGTTTGCATTTTCTTAGTTTGATTTCTTCCTTTATGCATTTCTTGGTTAATTTTGTTATTTTCTCTTTTATTTGCTTGTTTTCCTTTATTTTTCAGATTAAGATCGTTTTCCAAAGTTTCCCGAGCCTCTTCCCGAGTTTGGCATTGATTAGGATGCTTATGGTCTCCATTTGAAGCTCAAGCATGGAGAAGTGCAAGTTCCTAAAGACTTTGAGCCGTGCATTCAAGCCGTGGGGGCATGATTTCTTATCTTGAACCCGCAAACATGGAGTTTAGAAACTGCAAGGTTTTGTGTTTATCAAGAGCATTAAGTGGAACGCACGAGGAGCATCGGAATGATAGGGAAGAGGGCTCCCTTGCTCCCAGACGTGGGCGTGCGCGACCATGGCACGACCGAGCGGTCTGGTGGCGCTGGCGCGCCTCCCTATGGCGCGGGTGCGCCTCTCTGGGTCCCTGTTCCGTACCCAGTTTTGCGCGGCCGCGCTCCCCTTATGGTTGGTCGCGCCTGTATGGGTTTATTTGGGGAAGATCTAACTAACTTCTCTTAGTTAGTTTTTCTATATCTAGAATTTTCTTTCTATTTTTAGAGGAGCATCGGAATGATAGAATTAGAATAGAAATTAGGCTAGAATTTTAGAGAGAGAAACTCTAGATTGTAGAGAGAGAAGTACTTGGTTGTTGATTGTTGATTGATGATTGAAGATTGTTTAATTCTAACTTTTCCTCCATTGAATTGAAGCAACTTTGTAAGGATTTCTTTTACTTTAATGCAATTTTCAGCTTATCATTTCAATTGTTTTGTTGATTGTTCAAGTTTGAATTGAATTTGTGATTGAATTAGTTCTATTGATATAATGATGATGAAATTGTTGATTAGCTTAGTTTTGATCTTAATTTCAATGGATT